GCCACCTAAGGGAAAATGGTTTTGTCCTCACTGTCGCAGGAAGGCGTCAAAGGTCCTGCCGATTCCCTGATTGAATATTGGCTGACTCCCGAACTTTGCAGTGTTGTCGTGTCTGTCGGTCTTGCTACTGCTGTGTTTGCAGCTGAATTTGTTTGCAAATTTTTGTGTTTTCGAAGACAGCGACCTTTAACTTGTAAACAACTATTTACATACGTAATACAACAACCAAGATACGAAAAGTTCCTGTTTTTTGGTGTTATCCGTTACTTGAAATTTGGAAGGAAATCTGATCGTTTGTCCAATTCCCAGGTTGTAGGGTTTGTTGTTCAGTCTTCATCGTAAATGTGTCTATTGAATGCCTTCACTTTAAGATAATTAAAATTCGGCCGGGGCTTTGCCACCTCTGCCCTCTCCTCTCTGGTGCTGAGCCACGACCGCCACGAAATCTTGTCGTTCTCTTCTAAGTGCTTACTACCTGTCTCCGGTAGAAATAGGAAAAAGAATACAAGTCCACTAAACGTGAATGCTGCGAATACGAACATCACTCCTGAAAAAACACCACTTTATGATTAAGGCGACATGAATACAAACATAAATCTTGTTTAGAAACCCAGCCGTTACCGGTCCAAAGTCCGGATGAAAAAAGAGAAGGATAGGAGACCGTGGTAAAGTCCCAGTAAAACTCCACTATCTTACCTTCATGTTGATGAGACCATCGAATTTTATACAGGCTCGATTATCAACTGTGCTACCAAGTGCAGCACAGGTACGAGGTAGACTGAAATATTAGCTATCTGAATTGGCTTCAAGCCTTCTTGCAGTGGGGGGGGGGGGCACAATTGCTGAAGATCTACCTAAAGGCTACAAAAATGTACATCAGCAGCGAAGTCGCTATCAATTCTGAACGGAGCTAGACACTGATGTATCATTATTAAAGCTCCATTGGAACGCACCGACAGTGGAGCTCATAGTCGAAAATTGCAACATCTGCTCATTCAGAATGAAAAGAGCTTGTTGGTAAGAACACGATGT